CAAGAGGCTGGTGATGCAACCCCCCGTGCCTTCAGTCAACCTGCCAACTCCTGGGGAGTGGCTACTAAGCCCTGAGCCCTGTAGTTTTCTAAGGGTCCCCGAGGAGGGCATGTTCCTTGTATTACTGTAATATTAATTATAATATTCCTTTTCCATTTATAATATTTATTTGAGTATTCTCTCTTTTTTCCTTAATCTGGCTAAAAGTTGTCAATTTTATTTATCTTAAAAAAAAATTCTGGGGCTGACTGGTGGCATAGTGTAAAGCGTAATACTCTGCAGGTCTGGGCCTATAGGGGAAGGTTCTGGGTTTATATCTGAAGACCTTCCTGCTTATGGAGGCAACATGCATGACTGAGAATGGATCACAGGGTTGAGAATGTTTTTCTTTTGCATTTTAAGATCATTTTATCTACTTCTGAACCAAAGACTTCAACAGGTACCCAGTCAAATTTATTTCCTTCCAATTTTTCCACGCTTAAAATATATTTACAGGCAGTGATTAGTCTATATGAACTTTAAGATAATTTTGTTCAATTATAATTCCAGTAGGAATTCTAGTTGGAATAGATTATATTTATATAGCAATTTTTGAGAATTGACATTTTTAGTAATATTAGGTCTTTTTAATATTATGAACATCTCATTTAAGAATATGGAATGCTATTCCATTTCTTTAAGTGTTTTATGCTCTTTAATACGATTTTATAGGTTTAAAAATATTTTAAAACAGGGAGGAAGACTCAAAGAATCAGAGTATCTTTCTGTCTCACAGTACAACCGTCCCATGAGTCAAACCAAGGTAAGTCCACTGACCCATAAATGAACCTCCTTCCTCCCTGGAAGCTACTGCATTGAGAGCAGGTGTAGCAGGGGCTGGTGTCATGGCGGTGGGCCATGGTGTCAGGCTTGATGTGGATGCAATTGATGGTGGAGGGCCCTGCTGTGGCTGCAGCCTGAGGGGCCAGTGAGGCTGCCCCAGCTACTGCTGCTACAGCTGCTTTCTGGCCTCCACCTCCTCCTTCTCTTCCTCCTCTGCTTCTTCCTCCTCCACTTCCTCCTTCTCCTCTTCTAGTCCCTGTATGTCAGGGATCTGATACACGGGAGAGGGGGGCTTCAGCAGCAGCACCTCCGCACTGCCTTTCTACCCCACAGTGGTCTCTCGGGGTTGTGGTAGTGGGCACCTAGTCGAATTTCACCTTCCACCACACTTTACACTCGCCCACCTCCACAGCCATGACCCAGCCGGTGTACCACTCCCATTCACACGCATCTCCACAGGCAGCCCTGTATCTTTCTGAGTCCTCTCGAGGGCAGCAGAATGCTCCTCCCAGCACAGTCTGAGAGTGCATTTGAATCCCTTTTCTCCACAGCAAATTTGCTCCGCTGTATTTCCCTTTCCTCCTCTTGGCTGCTTCCTCAGCTGCTTTATCATTTGAGGCCCTGAGACTCTGCTTCTGACCTGGAGTAGCCAGGGGGAGTTTAATGGACTGCTCTGCCTTCTTGACCACCAGAGGCTGGATGGTTTGGAGGGCTCCTGAACAGTCGGGATGGTGACAGCAGTGCGTCAGAGGGGAGGACCAGGGTGCAGTCTTGGGGAAAGTGTTCTCTGGTATTCGGGCCACTCTGGGAGACTGGCCTGACCTGGCCCTACTGGCCTCCTGCCTAGCTGTCAGGGAGGAGACTTTGGGGTACTGCTGGCTGCAGGGGTCTTTCGAGGCTGGCCTGTGCTGGCAGGTGTAGGAGATTGCAGGGAAGAGGATCCACTCTGGGCATTCCAGGTCATAGCAGATGAAGCCGGTGAGCAAGGACGCAGAGGTCTCTGCGTAGGCTCCTCAGCAGGAGGCCTGGTGGTCACTTCCAAGGGCCGTCTGTTCAAGTCGGCCTAGGAGTGGATGGATGTGATTTTCTGAAGGGCTCCAGTTTCTGCTGCTGACAAATTTTCTCCATCAGCTTTTTCTGCTTTTCTTCCTGTGTCTTTGGGTCCCTCCTGAGTGTCCCCAGAGGAACCTTCTGCTTCTGTTCAGTAGCCTCACAGTGGTCCTGGTCAGGATCCGGGTTCATGGAGCAAACCCATGTATTGGGGTAATCCTTTCCCACAGCACTCAGCTGGAAGGGGAGGGTCCTCCACTTGAGATACACATGGCACTGGATAGTGGTGGGGATCTCCATGGCTCTCCAGCGTCTGTAATGTGGCTCGCAGGATGGCGGCTGGTTCCAGTTGGCAGAGAGGTAACCAAACTCATCCCAGAACTTGGTGATTCCCCGCTGGGCCATGGCGATGTCCTTCCAGTACTGAGCCAGGTGCTCTCCCATGGGCCGCAGCAGCTGCCGGGACTCCTTGGCATCGGCAAAGTCCTGCTTGTTGTGCATGAGCTCCAGGACCAGGTAGGGCACATCAACGACCCCCACCACCCGGCCACAAGCCGTGCCCCCTTCCAGCTGTGGCCCCGCCTTCTCGAACATCTTGATCAGGCGGCTGCAGTTGTAGGCGAACATGCCGTCCAGGTCCCGGTGTTCCATGTTGATCCCGAAAACGAAGTTCAGGGACCAGCAGTTAGCGTAATGGCTATGTCACTGGACTCCCACGTAGTCAACCACAGTTCGCGTCCTGGACCCGGTAGCTTAAAACTCATGCCAGGCGCGTGTGCGTGCGTGCCCAAGATCCCGAGAGGAGAACAGAGGAGAAGGGATTGCGGC